CTCCCTTCTTTTTAAATTTTTTTTTCTTGGGATAGGGTCTCACTCTCTTGCCCAGGCTGGAATGCAATGGCACAATCTCAGCTCATTGCAATCTCTGCCTCCCATGTTCAAGCAGTTTTCATGCCTCAGCCTCCCAAGTAGCTGGGACTGCAGATGTGTGCCACTACACCAGGCTAATTTTTTGTATTTTTGGTAAAGACGGGATTTCACCATGTTGGCCAGACTGGTCTTGAACTTCTAGCCTCAAGTGATTCACTGCCATGGCCTCCCAAAGTGCTGGAATTACAGGCCTGAGCCACTGCCCCTGGCCACTCCCTTACTTCTTGACTGCACTCTTCTGTTTTTTTCTTTTTTTTTCTTTTTTTTCTTTTAGAATATATAAAATGAGGCCAGGAGTCGTGGCTCACATCTGTAATCCCAGCACTTTGGGAGGCAGAGGCAGGAGGACCACTTGAGGTCAGGAGCTCAAGACCAGCCTGGCAAACATGGTGAAACCCCATCTCTACTAAAAATATAAAAATTAGCCAGGCATGGTGTCATGTGCCTATAGTCCCAGCTACTTTGGAGGCTGAGGCAGGAGAATCGCTTGAACCTGGGAGGCAGAGGTTGCAGTGAGCCGAAATCGTGCCATTGCACTCCAGCCTCAGGGACAAGAGAGAAACTCTGTATCAATCAACCAATTGATCAATCAATCAATCAATCAAATGTATAAAATGTAGAGGCGGGGTCTTACTTCGTTGCCCAGGCTGGTCTCAAACTCCTGGCTTCAAGTGGTCCTCCTACCTAGGCCTCCCAAAGTGCTAGGGCTACTGGTGTGTGTCACTGTGCTCAGCCTTCTGGTTTCTTCTACATCTCAGAAGACTTCTTCTGTGTTTCTTTTCAGGTTCATTCTCCAACCAGGCCAGCACTTAATAGATTTCTTCACAACTTTGTCTCAATCCTCCTTATTTTCTCTTTCTAGCTCTTTCTAGACCAGTAGTTCTCAAAGTGTGTTCCACGGATCGTTTTTGGGGGGGTTGATGAGGTCAATACTATTTTCACAATACTAAATGTGACTTGCCTTTTTTTGCTATAGTGGCACATTGGGGCTGTGGACACTAAAGTGATGGGATGAAACTG